AATGTCCATTTTTCATCACAAGTAACGACTCAAAACCCCTTCGTTATTGAGATCACTTTTTATTCTTCATTGTCAACTAGGGTCTCTTGCCGTCCACAGGATTTGTTCTGTAAGTCCAAATTTCCAGATCGAAATCATTGGAAACAAAAACGTACAGTGTTTTCTTTTACAGTAGCTTTCCCATACACATCATTAATGCTATGAGCTGTTTTTGTAGCGCGGAACTCGTATTTGTAGTTTAAGCGATAATTTAAGTTTTCCATATTGTCAACAGAACAATGTCAAAGAAAAATTAAATGGTGCGAAAAAAATGAATCACTAAATGGGAAACTACTACAACTACAGACAGATTTCTCTTCTGAGCCGCGTCTACGTGCTGTTTTCGTGAGTCATTACGAATTGTCACGCAAGCAGATTCGACGACATCCAGCCTCCCAAACAATTCGGTTTCCGAAAAGGAAAGTACCATAGACCGCATACTTATACCCTTCGATAAATTGTACATAGGACTGAACAGTACATAACCTGAAAAAAAGATTGTACAACCAGTGCATGTTGCCAGTGATGAGTTATGGATTTGAAAAGTGGTCCTCCGTATGAGAAAGCTCAAGGTCGCTCAGCGAGCTATGGAGATGGCTATAGTTGAAGTTTCTCTGATGAGATACCATCAGGTGGATTGTGTGCTCATTAATCAACCTTATTCTATAAAAAATATGATTGTACTATGAAATAGGCAGCGTCCTGGTACTGAGGTAACGGCTTTTGTTTATTATTAACCAATATAATAATAAATGTCCATGTAAAATTATCACATGTTATAAAACGTTTAATAGTAACAAAACGTTCATGTATTTAAAAAAAATTAATGTTATATTAGTTTTCCAAAGGATTTATTTAAAATTTTTAGTAGAATTTATTTAAAATTTTTAGCTTAACATAAAATGCGTATTTCCTTAATGTGCTTCATTACATTTCTCCGACTAAATAAAACTTTCTAGTACAAAAGCGATCGATTTCATACTTCGAACAAAAATTGTAACCATTTCGTAACCAGCTGAAATTTGGTTGAATGAATAGAATAGTATTCTACATATTATTCAAAGGCCGACAATTTGCTAAATTACACTACGAACAGTTTACCCATATCGGGCTTATAATACAATATGGCGAGGCTTCGCTAAGCCCTGCTCAAGAAATGTGTTATGGATAACTTCATGCAGCTATCAAATGGAATTTAACTTAGATTTTCCCTGTATAAATTTAAGTACGATTAATGCAGGTTTGCTACTCACATTCAACGAAATTTTATTTTATGTTCAGTGTGCTAAACGTTTTATGCTTTGACTATACATTATAAAAGTTTCCCTATCCGCAAAAAACACGAATTAGACACTTCTTTTTTATCTTTAAAAAAACGCTACCTCCACATTAGGATTTTGTCCTGTATTGTAGAGGCAGTTTACAAACATACATTGCACAAGGACAAACGTCCAGACCCGGAACAATTATTTGTAGGCCATACAAATACTTGTTCCGTGCGGGATTCGAACCCGCGGCCCCCAGCGTTGCAACTCATTGCTAAGTCACTGCGGCACGGAGCCGTCAAATATTCATATATGACTCACGGGATAGTGAGATGGTTAAGTTGCACTAGACACTAGTCTTCATTAGTCTGTAAACTCTAAATCCCTAATTAAACCTAGGCCTTTCAGTAGGAAAAACTTTTGCCAGCAATCACGTCTGAAAGTATAGAAAGCCGGTAAAATTACAGGCTGTAAGGCATTCCATCTTAGTCCTCAGAGATGACAAAGCTTCAACAGCCTTCTTTATTTGAAGTTAGTTACAGGTGTTCAGGGGCCGCCACTTACCATCGGGTAAGGTTTGTTGGCTCCGTCGCGCAGTGGCAGTGGGTTCGAATCCCGCAACGAAAAAGTATTTGTATAGCCTAAAAATAACTGTACCGGGTCTGAATGTTTGTTCTTGTGAAATTTTGTTCATGTTAACTGCCCCCACGATACAGGAAAAAATCCTAGTGTGGAGTTAACGTTTTTATAAAGGAAAAGAATGGTAGACTGTAAGTTCGTTGATCTTTTTATAAAAAAATCGTACTTATGATGTTGCTCTCCTACGCCGGGTCTGAGTTATCTTAATTAAATCTATCAAAAGTCCCCCGCTAAATAAGAAGAACATCATACAGTGCGTGTGGGTGGACTTCATAGGTCTTCCAAATATTTTTTTCCTCAGACATGCAGGTTATTTCTCGATTTTCCTTCAACACAGAGCAAGGATTAAATCAGCGCTTAAAATTTCAATTAACAGTTTGATTGACGCCGGTAGAGATTGAATCTGAGTTGCTCACATACTGAAATTTACTGCAACCGCTTAACTCAAAGATTAACTTGAGCATCTCTCAACGATGTAAATTTTTTTTATACGATAGAGTTATGTTAATTTGACATAGAGTCTTGCCTGGTCGGCCGTGTTAGCCAATTATATTAAAAAGGCTAGCACGGCCGACCACGCAAAAAAAAAATTTATTACAAATACCTAAAAAATTATAAATTTTAAAGGAATAATTTTTATAGGTATCCTAAAAGTGTAATGTTTATTGCTTCTTTATATTGGCAAAACACTTCCCATTTCTTTAATACGTAATGGTATAACAGCGCAAAAATAAAAAAGTGAGCATTCGAAAATTTGTCTTTTATTCGAAATTTTGTCTTTTCCAAATACTTATAGGTATAAAACTATTATAAAGCTTAATAATTGCAGAAACAATTTGGAAAAAAATAGTTATTTCTAGAGAACAGACTATTTTTTTGTTCACAATGTTATTCTTATTCCCTAGATAGGAAAATAAATTGGGCACGTTCTTATTGATCCTAATTTTAAAACAATCTCGATTGGACACGCCATCCGTAAAGATAAGCTGGCCTGCTTCATTTCCCCCGAAAGCCTTACGAATGCCTTAAGCGTAAAAAGAGATGCGAAGCGGATAGCAGATGTTTTTATAAAAAACTTATTCAATTTTTCAAAAAATGAATTCTCCATTAAGCGGCTTCTAATCTGAATAGTATAATAATAATTCCACTTTATGTTTGATAATATTTTCTTATTAAGTATAAGAGCATTTTTAGTTAATGATCATTAACCTTCAATTTATAATGATAGAAAAAAAACTGGTTGAAGTAAAGTTATAGTCTATAAACGTCCCAATGCTATGCACAGGCTTTTTCTCATTTCTGGGAGGGTTTTAGGGCAAGGAAATGTCCGCCGCGCTGCCCCAATGTGTATTGACAAACTTCAGATGTCTTCGAAATCTATTCTTTATTGTTTCTCAGATATGCAGGTTTCCTGACGTAGCTTTCCTTAACCACCTAATAAATCAGCACCTAAAATTGCAATTAACAATTTTATTGATGCTGGCGGGAATCGAACCCGGGTTGCTCGCGTACTGTGAAATTTACGCTTAGCCCCTGATCTACTACGGATATTTGTTAACAAGACTGGTAAATAAAACTAATTTACCAGTTATTATAAGCATTAAATTGGCCTTGTTCCTAATATTATGGTTTGAAGTATCAAGTTGTCGTTTTAATGGAGTGGCCATTTTGAGTTTAAATTAAACTAGCATAGTACAGGATACCTGATCAAAACTTTTTTTTCTACGCAAAAATTATATACTTTTCAATCCAAAAGTTACTTGACGCTTTATAGTTTGGATTTCAATTGTTATTACATTCAGTATTTGAGTTAAACATGGAAACTTTAAAATAAGAGTAATTCTCGAATACGAGTTCCGGCGTGGTTCTAACGCAACAGAGCCATATAAATGATGATGATCTAATCTAAAATGATTTCAGTACACGGGAAAAGACAGGACATTATATTAGCTTCGCTTCAACCACAAGACAATCGTTATTTATTAGAACATCAAACACTTAATTGAAATCTACTATCGTTGCAGTGAAGCGCAGAACACATGAGGTAAACCTTTTCGACTTACAGACGAGGCAGTGTTATTCGGTTTATTATTTGAAATTCATCCATATGTTAAAATTTTTAATGTGATGTGTAATTTTACACTGAAGAGATTTTTGTTTGCGATAACAGTTTCTGAAATTATTAAGAAGAAGATTTTTTTACAATGGCACAGGGTACCTTAACTTTTGCAAGACTCCTGCAGGGCCATACCGCTGGTGCACCGATGATGGGATAGGGAGGAAGAGGATTTTTAGTGACCCGAGTGTCAGTATTGCAATGTGCAGCTTTCCTCACTTTCCTCCCCTGGTGTTGCCTATACCCCATGGCCTTCGCGTAATGGAACCGGGAGTGGACGGTAGGAACATTGTTTGACCAGATGGTGATCAAGTAGTCATTTCTATTTCGGTCCCACCATTTCTTCCGTTCGTCCGAGGCGGTTATTGGTGGGCATTAGCTCATAAAATAGAAACAATATTTACAAACCTAATAAAAAAAAGCTAATATAATTATTATTATTATTGCAGTGAGAATATGGCCTAACAGTCCCCAGTTGTTATTACAGTTAAAATTGTTATTATGATCCATGATATTCTATAATGCTTGCATCTGGCGTTATCATCTCTGTAATTAAGATTTCTCACAGCCTGTAATTACACTACCTCTTTTACCGTTCTTACAAGAACACAAAAAAAAAGTAGTCTTTGGTAAAAGGACAAGAAGAACTAATACGTATCTCTTACAGTATAATTGATAACGCCTAATATTTTAACATTAAAACATTTACGTCGTATATTAAATATAATAGAAACATAATTTATTAAAACAGTGCAAGCGCGTTACTAATACAAATATACTTCAACACGAAAACTTTTTATCCAACGCTTTAATATTATGACCTGTACTGTTGAATTGTTCAAAAGTAATTAAGTTTAATTTTCAACGCAAATACCTAGATCATGTGTGTGGTTTAGTACAAATATTTGACATATTTAAACGTGTTTAACAAAGTAACTTACCAAAAACAATCATTTGCTTTGTTCTTGAATCCTCTTCCATAAATGTTGAAACGACACACGTGTATTCACCAGAGATGTCGGTATTGGGCTTCACTATGCGGAGTGCTCTGTGCATTTTTAATGGGTCGTTCGATGCTCTGTAGGTTAAATCGACACGACCCCTCAATATCCCCATGTCCTGTGGCTTTTGCGAAACAATCCATTGGTAGACAGGCCTAGCTTTGTTTCTGAAAAACCACTTCACTACCAGTCCTGATGTGTTGTTACCGTAAACATAATCACAGTCTAGTACTACAGCGTCTTGCACTCCGTATTGTATTATTTCTGGCACTACTATTTTCACTATTTTAACTGCATTCAATTCTGTAACAAAGAAATAAACTTGAATGTGAATTTTATACCAATTTAATAAGTAATAAACATACATTTGACTTGTTTTAAGGCTTCAACCACATATGTATATATTGAAGTTGCTTTTTTTAGTTTTGTCCCTTTATGAACGTTTACTTTTTTTCCTTCAGTCTAATACAGTCAATGAAAACCTGCAGCCAAATTCAAACAAAGAAGGCTAAATGATAGATGCGTTGTTACTTCTAAGGACTAAAATTATATATTATATAACATTATTGATTTTTATTGCATTAGATGGTTTTTGAAATAATTAAGCTGTAAGAGAAAAATTTATTCGTAGTTTAATTAAAGGAAATAACATTGTATCAACTTTTAATTTGTTTTTAAAGACTGAATTTTTTTATAATAAAACGAGGCACGCCCGGATGATATTGAATACATTCCTTAAATATTGTTTCGGAGCAACTTCTTTTAATCATTAATCTGAACATTTATTCTTCACTAAACTAAATATCGGAAAAAGTTTAATTAATTTGTAAAAAAAGGTACTTATAATGCAAACAACAACAGGCCAGTTTGACTGACAGCGAGTTAATGGCGGCTTCAATAATGATCAGAAAATCTAATATTAGCGCAAAAAGACCAAAATAAAAAGCTTTCTCTCAATGTAAACAATTAAAATTCATGGACATTACGAAAATTCAAAGAGGAAATATTAAAACTAGATATGTATTCATAAAGTCTTTCCCTCCTATATAATGGGTAGCTAATGCGCAAAACATTAATATTTATGCAATTCTCAATTGTTGAAAGCTTATTTAAATTCATCCTTGGTCCTGCTTAAAAGCAGGCTCGACCTAAAAATTTGAGTATTACTTAATATTATTGCTCCGTGGCCCAGTGGCTTAGCAATGAGTTGCTGTGCTGGGGGTCGCGGGTTCGAATCCCGCACGGAACAAGTATTTGTATGGCCTACAAATAATTGTTCCGGGTCTGGATGTTTGTCCTTGTGAAATTTGTGTTTGTAAACTGCCTCCACGATACAGGAGAAAATCCTAGTGTGGGGGTAACATTTTTAATTAAAGAAAAATCATCAATGAACGCTTTAAATAACAAAGTGAGAATAGATTCTGACAAAGAATTCATAAAAGCCGAGTTCTTATAGCACTTCGCTTAGGTGAATATCACTCATAAAAATACTGGCTCATTACAAGTTTTACTGATAAAAATATATATTATTTGAACTATTTTATCATTAGTATGCGAACATAGGGCTCTCAGAAATTACTTGAGAAGAAGTAAGATTTTATTTATTAACACGCTTTTATAATCTCCGCGTGTATCAATAAAAAAAAATTATTAAAAGATTCCATAACATAGATACGTTAGATAAATCCATCACATCCTATAATATAGTTCATTGCTGAATATAGGCCTCCCCCATAAGATGCCTCATAGGGGTGGGATTTGACCAAAGTTGCCACGCTTGACAGGCGCTGGTGCCCATGTCATGTTTTAGCTTCCCTCTGTCGCCTCTTATGACAACCACTACGATATGGTGTAGTGGATTTCCTACACCGCCACTATACGGGATACACACGGATAGATAGATCTATGTAACGGAATCTTTTAATGTAATTTTCACCAACTTGTAGACGGCCGATGAACTTGAAAATTAGCAGTTTTATCATGGACCAATGACAATATAATAATTTAATATATTTATCCTAGTGTCGTGATCAGGATCACCAGGATAGAAAAAAATAATTATCATGATCTTCAAACTTCATGGTTAATGCGTGTTGGTTAAGTTTTATAAACTCATATGATTTTTTTACTTAAAATATATTATATATTTATCTTTATATATAATAAATACGTGTCATTTTGTTTGTCCGCGATGGACTCCTAAACTATTGAACTGATTTCAATGATATTTTGCACACTGTGTTCAGTTTGGCCCAACTTGAGAGATAGGTTATTTTTATCCCGATAAGCAATTTTTTTATTGCTAATCTCAAGATTTTTTTTTTAGGAAAGCAAATGGTCGTCAGAAAGGGCAGAACAACGTCTGCCTGGCGAGCTAGTAGAACTATATATTATGTATATTAGAATAATAAAACTATGTACATTGTCCATTACGCTACTTCTACAACGAATACTAATTCTTGGGAGAATTGACAATCGCACTATTGCCGATCTGCACATTTTACGTCTGCCCGTTAATAAAGTTGTTATACCACCATTTAGCCGAAGTAGCTCAAGGGCTAAACGCTCGCTGTAATTCCACAGTAAGCGAGCAACCCGGGTTCAATCGGAATGGTTAATTGCAATTCTAAGTGCTGATTTGCCACGTGCTCGGCGGTGAAGGAAAACATAGTAAGGAAACCTGCATGTCTGAGAAATAAGAAAAAAATATATCGAAGATATTTGTAGTTCACCAACACGCATTGGGGCAGCGCAACGAACATCTCAAAGTTAGAAGAGAAGTCGCTCTCGCTGTGTACGCGTTGAAGGTGATGAGGGGTAGGATACACAACCCGAGAGTGTTAGAGATGTTGCGACTGAATGCGCCAGACGGAAGCGCGGGACGCCGGCGGTGGCCGTCGTTACTGGCGGTACCGCGCGCGCGCACCGCACCGATGCAGCGAGCGCCGTTCACGCGCGCGCTGCATGTGATGAACACCATGTTGGAGCGAACTAATTTATTTTCATGTTCGCTGAGTGAGCTCAGTAAAATGGCATATCCTACTGTATCGTTGGCTACACTGTCGAATTAGGGTGCTCACCCTGTTATGATTGTGTATGTTGTATGTGTGTGTAAATAAATAAAAAAATCCTTGCCCTAAATCCCTTTCAAAAATGAGAGAGACGTATTTATGTGACTTCTATAGTGTCTAAACTGTGACTTTAACTTTAACCAGCATCTATCGATGATGTATATCTGGTATTTCCCATAGGTCACCGCTTCCGACGCCCACGGGACGAAACGCGATATTGTATTCTCTTACACCGCCACCATATTGCATTTTATACTTATTAATAGCATATCTATTCATTAAAATAATTAGTAAAATTTCACTTTTCCATTATTTTTTAGTTTTGTACAGGTCATTATTTTAAGATTTATTTCTTTGTATACCTATATTATGAAGCCTTATAAATATTTTCGGAAGACAGTCTACTATTTAAAAGTGTGCTTTTTAAACAATCCCTTATTTCCAGTATTCCAAGTACATTAATAAAATAACGATCAAATCATTTTGAATTATCACTATCAACATTTCCTTTTACTGACAAGGTTCACCCAAATACACAATGTAATAATGATTAATTCAGTAAAATCTGGTAGCTCATTATTGAGAAACCATAAAAGAGCTTTCGCCTGATGTAGATATTGGGAAGATAAATTGCTCCACTGCTGACTAGGCGGGATGGAGACATATCGTATTTGCTCTGCGCTCTACAATGTGACCTTAAAAGTAAAAATGGACAGAGATTTTTCAAAATTAAACAACCGTTTCCCTAATCTTACATCTATCCATCTATTTATCGATTGCATTACTAACATCTATTATTTTACACATTTTCTCTATGGAGTAGAGAGAGATGTCAAAAGACGTGAAATAAAATAAAGGTACATTAGCCTAGTCTTTATACTCGTAGTACGTAATTCACTTTAATTGCTTTCACCAAACGTTTTTATGAAGTAAGTTAATGTGCTAAATTTATTGCATGTCCTTTTTAAAAAAGAGAGATCCTTGTGTTGTGTATCTTTTTATATTAATCGTATCTACTTATTATAAAATAAAATAAAAAATAAAATAAAGAAAAAAATAAGAACATGTCAACGGAACCTAGAACGAAGCATGCTAAAAATAAAAAAAATGAAAAAAATAAGACACAATAAAATAAGAAGCATATCTAAAGCTACTGATGCTCTAAACTGTGCCAAAAACTGAAATGGAAGTGGGCGCGGCATTTGGCGACACTGTCAGATGAGCGGTGGACCATAAGGGTAACATGGTGGAGAGGTCCAAGAAGAAAATGCTACAGAGGAAGACCGCTTACGAGATGGGCGGATGATATGAGCAAAACGGCCGGCTCAAGCTGGATGCAAAAAGCCCAAGAGCCCGGAGAAAATTGAGACTCTTTGGTGGAGGCCTTCATATGCGGAAGGGTTCTTGCAGATTAATTATTTATCTTAATCCTAAGCTTAGTTTATATATTTTGTTATTTTTGGAAGAAATATAAGGCTTTTTATTTTATTTATCTACTTATTATCATAACATAATTCAAAGAACAGAACAAAAAAGGCGTTTCACACCACGTGCGGTTTGGATCACGTTGTAAATCAAACAAATGCTCATTTCAGTGGTGCCTTTCGGACCGCGGTGTGAATGGTTCACGAAACATTTTATGCTAGGGTGATTTCGACCACGGTGTGAAACGCCCCAATCCTTTTCTATGCAGCACGAATCGCCTACAGTTCATTAATACATATTCCAAAATGTACAAACATGCATAAGGGACCTTAGTTTTTATGTTATTTATTTATTTTTATTATATAAATTCTGTTAAGCCTTAGTAGATATTATTTAAAATTCAAAATTTTGTACAAACGCCTTCAATATAAATTATTAAGATTGACTCAAAAATTATTGGTCATACCTTGATCAAATTTTTATGGGACTACATGAGAAGAACTAGCTTTCAAATAAAAAAAGAATCATCGAAATCGGTTCACTCAGTAAAAAGTTATGAAAATATTCAATATTAAAAAAAAAATTCGCCATTTGCGTAAGGAGTTGCGCAAGCACTTCTTGCTGCTTTCAAATACGTTCCCGAAATGTCAGCATCAAGCTAGGTATATATATTATGAGCAATAAATACGTTTAATTACTTTCCCTAAGTTGCCTCTTACGACCATCATATAACAAAATGAGAAGCTGGATTTATTTATGCACCCGGAAAACTATGATAGTTAAAGTTAATTATTAATTATGTTACCG